GAGCTGTGCTCCCCGCCGGGCAGGCAGCGGACGGTCGCGTCCAGCAGCACCGTGAGCTCGCTGGAGTTCCCGCAGGGAGACACGGAGCCGCTCCCGCCATCGCCGGGGGCTGACAGCGCGAGGGAAGAGAGGGCTGGACGGTCCTGTCCAAAAAGCACAGGCCCGGTGTTGCAAAAGTCCGGTAGAGTTCTGCGGGCGACGGTGCGGGGACTCTTGTCCCTACAGAACAGCACCGCCGCTCCTCAGGCAGAGCTGCCTCCCGTTAACGGGGAGCCCCGGCGCTCTGCACCCTGTGACAGTGGCCCCTCTGACGAACAATGGGATGATCTAAGGAGAGATTGGACAAAAGGAGACTTGCGCGGTCAGAGAGGCAAAACCAAGAAGTACCAGCTTACACCAGCAGTGGTCTTGGACCCTCAAGAAGTGCCAGGGTGGCTGGCAAGCACGAAACTCAGCAAAAAGGGACAGACTCAACGCGCCTGCCAGCAGCCAGTGTCTCCTTTGGACCCTCAAGGAATCTTAGAGAGTAAACATAAAAGTACCAGAGTTGTTTCTGGAGAGGGAAGTACCTGTAGAAAAGCTTGCATCAGCGGCTTCAGTGCCAGCCGGTGGGGGAAGCAAACAAGGCTCCGTCCAAAAAGGCACAAAAACAAGAGACAGCAGCAGCCTAGTAACACCTTTTTGGGACAACAGATGAGGCAAAAAAGAATGAAGAAGGGTGCTCTGGAGTTTTCTGATGATGTAAGAGACAATGACTCTTCACACCTCAACGGCTACTATTCCTGGGGTAGAGTTCGAGCGTCTTTGTACTTCCATAAGAAGAAGAAAGTTACCACAGAAGAGAGTTCCTGCAACAGCATTCTTTGTACCCCTTCTGTGAAATCCCAGTTTTCAGGGCACCAAGCAACCCTGTCTGCTGCTAAGTCTCAGTGCTGCTCTTGGTCTGGTTCCTCCATGGTCCTGCTGGCTCCCAGGAGTTCCCGTTCTGTCCTGGAGCTAATGCTTACAGATGCAGAGAAGGTGTTTGGGGAATGCCACCAGGAGGGGCCTATCACTTTTGAGGAATGCATTCCTTTAGGTAAGATGAAAAATTGCAAAAAAATTGGGGAAGGGGTTTTCGGAGAGGTCTTCCAGATTGACAGTGAGAGAGGACCTGTGGCCTTAAAAATAATTCCTATTGAGGGGACTGAAAGAGTAAATGGTGAAGCTCAAAAGAGCTTTGGAGAGATTCTCCCTGAGATAATAATTTCAAAAGAACTCAGTCTTCTGTCTGAAGAGTCTGCAAATAGGACTGTTGGGTTCATCAGCTTGTACTCCGTGCACTGTGTTCAAGGGGCCTATCCTAAATATCTCCTGGAAGCCTGGGACAAATACCACAAAGTAACTGGATCAGAAAATGATCGGCCAGGCTTTTTTGGGGATGAGCAGCTCTTCATGGTTCTGGAGTTTGAATTTGGAGGCAGTGACTTAGAGAAGATGAGGAAGGAGTTCAGTTCAGTGACATCAGCAAAAAGCATTTTGCACCAGGTCACTGCTTCCCTGGCTGTGGCAGAACAGGAGCTGCATTTCGAGCACAGAGACTTGCACTGGGGGAACGTGCTGGTAAAGAGGACGGCTGCAAAGGAGCTTAATTACGTGTTGAATGGGGCAACACACACAATCCCCACAGCAGGGATTCACGTCAACATCATCGATTATACCTTGTCTCGGCTGGAGAAGGATGGCTTAACTGTGTTTTGTGACCTTTCCACTGATGAAGAGCTGTTTCAAGGCACAGGGGACTATCAGTTCGATATCTACAGGCAAATGAAAGCAGAGAACTCCAACAGCTGGACTGACTATCATCCACACAGCAACGTCCTCTGGCTGCATTACTTGTCACACAAACTTTTGAAAGACATGAAGTACAAGAAAAAGCAATTGACTTCTGCCATGAAGAAAATAAGGCAGCAGCTCGTTCAGTTCCACAAAGAAGTGCTGACCTTTGCGTCTGCCAACGAAGTTTTACAAAACAGCAGCTTCTTCCAGTGAGCACAGGAGTGCAATGTGTCCAAGAACTAAGTCACTGACACTGCCTTTCTCTCTTGCTGTTTTTTATGTATGATCTCTTTAAATGTTGGCACAACAAAGAAGTGTTACGATCAGTTAACAATGTTTATAAAAAGCTATCAAATTTGTCTATAAACCCCCAAAAAAGTCTTCTGTTTTAAAATGTTGCCATATGTACTTTTTTTGAGGTGTGAAGGTGGGGAGAGAACAGACTTGACATTTCAGAAGGAGAGAAAAATATTTCCTCAGATTCAATTAATGTTTTAAATTCCACAGAAATTTTTTTACTTTTTTAGTTTTAGGTTATTAAAAATTCTTTCCTTACTATATTGTCTTCCTTACAAATTCTTTTTTTGAAGAAAAAAGAAAAATACAATTCTGGACAGCGAGGATAAAGGTAAATATTGTTAGCACAGTTGGGGACAGAGGGGAAAACCTGCCTTTTGACTTAGTTTAAAACGGAACTTTTGTTCAGTTTGGCAAAATTTGTACCTGGAATAATGCTACAAAATGTAAAAATGTAAAGTTTCTGTAGTGTAGGTTTTAAAGACACTCCAATCTGCAATAACATGCTTGGTTTCTTTTCCACTCTGTTAAGGACCAATGAAGAAGTATTTGATTGAGGAAAAAAATATGAAAAAGTACCTGTGTTCCTGATGCATTTTTGACCGTTATTATGTTGTGACCATGTATACTGATAGGAACCCAAATCTGTACCTTGATGGTAGCATTAAAGCGGTTTTCTCCATTTATCTACAGAAGAAAACGCACAAGTTAGTAAATGTTCTTTAGTCCTGATTGCAGATGGATCAGATGACCTAAATTTGAAGCTATACTTACATTAAATCTGAACTCTTTGTTTTCAAGAAGTCCTTCGCTAACATTCACGTACATTAAAGAAACTGGCCTAAAGAGAACAATAAATCAAAGTGAAAAGTTAATTAGATTATTACTAAAAATTAGTACATCCAGATGCATTAATTAAGAGGTAGCAGCATCAGATTTGTTATAACTGGAGTGCTGTCTATGCAGTCTCATGCAAGTGCATCTCGGACCCTATCTTGAAGTCTACATTTAACAAGCCAAGCAGTTGAGAGGCCCTAGGTACCCCCCTGCCCATGACACGGTTTTAGTGTTCCGTCTTCTGGACTCTTTACTTTTGCTGCCTAGTATCACAGAAAAGGACTTGACAATCTGCAGTGCTTGAAATTATTGAGATGGAAATTGTATTGGAATCTTACCAGGCATCCTCTCAATCTTTTTTCCTCTAATTGACTAAAGTAATGCAATATAATTGAATATTCTTAAAACGTACTTGGTAAGGACGGCAGTGAACGCATATCTGACATCAAGGACGTGTTCTTCAGTCAGAATGGTGCTATTTTCATTTATGCTTTTTAAAAAAAAAAAAAAAGGGATGGATGAAACAACATTATTATCTGCCTGCCTTGGGCCTTTATTGCTATGGTTTGAGAACTAATATTGGCTGTACAAGGGGGATGGAAACAGAGCGGCAGAAACTAATGAAAGAAGAGGTGCCAGCCCCCTTGGTGACATGGTATAGTGGGGCTGGAGTAGCCCTTTATTACAACAAGATTTTGAAAGCTGCCATTGCTTTGAAATGCTTCTCCACAAACCAACACTAACCTGTGAATGTGTATTATTGTTTTCATTAAGCAAAATGTAAAGCTTCTACCCCTCACAAAACTGGACATTAAATTCATATAGAAACCTTTGTCTTAAACTGTGCTTGCAAGGAAGTGTAGCTGCCAGAGCTGAGTTCTCATTTCCTTTGTAAAAACACTCACTGTTTAAAAATGCTCTGTACTAGTCAGTCCTCTTAAATTTTATTTGGAGGAAGGTGACAAGAAAGGAACCTGAATGGTAAATTCCCCCCATCAGAAAGCCCCTAATCAAGGAAAATGCCCTGAACATGTGTTTTCATCATAGTCATTTGAAGTGAAAGCTTTACTTGGAACTCAGCTGATTATATTTTAATCATCTGTTCTCTCTGCTAAGGAGGGAGGATGCCAGAGCCCAGTTTGACATTTCAGAAAACACAAGCTTTTAAATATGTACTACACTTAAATTAGGACCTTAAAGGGTGCTCCATCTTTTACTGAAATAATGAAGTGTGAGCAAAGCTAAAATTATCATAAGGGAAGGAAAGGTTTTTCACGCGGATCCAACTGCTTTAGGAGGTTGAAAAGAAGAGTTTTGTGTAACCAGTGACTGACCAATGGTATGGACACCAAGTAGGAATTGTGGTATTTCCTTTCTAGTTCACAGTGTGTTTTGTGGTGAAAACAGCCATACTCACTTGCTGATATTAACGGTGATTGCAGCCTTATTTTGGAATAAGGTTTCATCTAACTGCCAAATCACTGAAAATTTTGCCTATTTTGAGGGAAGAAAAAGACATAACAAAATATCGATTACCCTGTAAGTACTCTTTAACTCACCAGGGTACTGTTAAAACATGATGGCTAATGTATTTTCTGGTCGTCATTCCCTTCTGGAGAAATTAGACATTAAGCGCAGGAATATGAAAATTATCTCTTGCCTTGAGAAAATGCACACGAGCCATAAGCTAAACTGGAAAGAACAGCGACTCTGGCCTAATTGTACAGAGAGAGGATGCAAGAGCAGCTACTCAAAGTATCATTTAGAGGTAGAGGAAAAGTGAAAATAATGATCTCTACTTACAGTTGTCTTCTTGAATACTGGATGCCCAATTCTGCAGTTACAGGATAAGACTGCAGAAGTCAATGGTATTGGTTGGCCACAGTGAATAGCAGGAGAGGATGACTGCCAACAGAATAGGAAGGCTCTTTAATATTGAATAAAAACAGACTGGGAAATTCGACTCAGTCTGCATCTGCTCCCGTGAAACAAAATAGGTACAAATAGCCCAATAAAAGCTTGGGAGTCTTAAAATCAGATAAATCCAGTATTAACGCTCTAGTCCTATTAACTGAAATGCTCCTTCCCTTCCTTGGACCTTAATTCAAGATTTATTTAGGTAGTAAATTAGTATGAGTCTGCGCTGGGTTTTCTTTCAGCAGCCCACTGCTAGCTGAAGAGTCGTTCTAAAATCTTACCTCAACAGTCACCTTCTTAAAAAGCAGGTTTTTAGGATAGTTCAAGACCATAGTTGTCATGTACGAGTCATCTCCGCTGTTCGTTAGTGAAGCACTCATGGTCACTTCTTTAGTGTGGCCCACCACTAATTCCTTTCTAGAAGCAGATAGAAAAATGAGATGGGTGACATGTAATTTCTAAAGGTCGTTATTTAGTAAGAGGCCTGAAACATTCTGGTTCTGGTAATTACTCCCTCCAAATGCTTTCACACACAGGATAATGCAATAGCCCAATTAATAATTCAATATTCTTCAGGGTGTGTAGGAAAATGCTTCTTTCTTAATATTGAAGGCAGTCATCTCCAAACTTTACATAGCATTTTATCATTTCTGTTTTACATCAAGATAGACTTCAAACATTACTCCACTTGATTAGCTTTTCAGTGAATCTCCAGGGTAAATTTTTACAGTGAAGTGATGCCTACCGTTTTGTGTAAGGCTATGTAAACTGAGCCACTCTGCTATAGTGCTGGGCTGTGCATCAGTCTAAACCAAAACCACATGTTCACAATTAAATGCCAGAATTGTGATTTTAGGATGACTATAGTTGTTTAAACCTTGGTCTTTCCTCTCAGATTTCGTAGAACAGCCCAGCAATGCCCATGGAGGCATACAGTTACAGCCCGACATGACTGCGACGCGACAGAAAGGATGAATGGATGGAAAGTAATGTAAACAAAGGGACAGCAAATCTTGTCTGTGAATTTGAAGACAATGTCTTATGCACAAAGATGACATTTTATGTGAATGCTAAATGCAAAACCTGGACAATACAACTACTGTGACTCACTCAATCTGAGTTGTCAAAGTTAAATGAGCAGTACAGATGGTCTTGTTGCAGTCCTCCTTGTAAGGTAACTGAAAGCAAACACAGATCGAGTCAGACTTTAACAGTCCTAATTTTTCTAATTTCAGAATACCTTTACACATACATTCTCTGAAAAGCAAAATTCCCAGGACCTTAAGGAGAAGCTGGAAACAAGACCTTCTAGTGACAAGTCAGTCCAAAATTGATGGTGTTTTGTAATTCAACTCCCAGGAGAAGTTCTGTTAACAATGACATGAAGAGTCTTCACTGGGGACAAGGTCTTGTTAAAGAAATGCCAGTTGTTTACCCCTGAGTTGCCTTAGGGCAATAAAATTGATTCCTTTTCCAGAGATCATATGTTTTTCTTGAATAAATATGTTCATGTGCTGTGCCGGCTTATAGGCATACTATTTTGAGGATATGAGGTTATTTCCTTTAGCAATAGTTTTATTCACCAATAAAAATCTACTGTCTGTGGCTGATGTTTCTGGAGAAGTTCAATGATAATTAATAATTAGATGTTGGGTACATAAGTACTAAGCCATGCTGACCAGCACTCAAGAATCTCATGAATTATTCTTGGGAAATAGATGTGCCATGAACATCATAATCCCTAAGAGCACTGCGACTATAGTAATTAGTGTTCATTATTGCTCAGTGCTAAACGTCCTAACTTCTGTCCTATGCTTTATGGACAGCTAATTATTTGTGGTAAAGACTCCTATTAAGTAGTAAAAAGCTGCCTCTCTACTGAGCTTTATGTGTTTTTTTCAGAAGCTGTGATTTGGATTTCAGCCTAACTATGCAAAAGAGCTCATTAGCTTGTAGGAATCCTGCTATTAAACTGCAAGAGAGGAGACAGGATATCAAACTTAACCTTTAAGTTTATTAGAAGTTTGCAGCCTCCCAAATACCAGTTTGAAACAACTAAAATAAACTAGAAGATATATACATAATTTTAATTATTTTTAAAAGTACTTCATTAGAAAACTGTATCGTTTTTACTAACAAATACACCACTTACTTAAATAAGTCTTAATATAAGTTCCAGTGGAGAGCTCAAAATCTGAGAAGTACTCCGCAAAACACAAACTGTCTGCCTTCTTCACAGGTAGCACCTAATCTCATTTTATACAGAGGCACAGGAGAAATGTTGTTGACGAAAGTAAAGCAATTTTTTAGCAGATCTGGTGTTGGACCTTAGAGGTGAGATTCTCTTAACAAGATACGAGTATCTGTTTGGGGAAAACCTGGGCCTAAAGTCTACCTACAATACAGTATTGATAACTAGAAAGGGAACAGAGGGAGAAGACGACATGCAAAGGCTAAGAAAACCACATCTTTTTATCTTTAATAGTAAAAGTTTTGCATCCTGGAAAGAGAGAAAACTCTTTGCTAGCATTTTGTTTTGTTACCTGAAAATGCATTTCTGACGGCTGGTATCTATCCAGCACAGGAACAGCAGACTCCATGTTATCATTTTTCTTATAGAGCTCGTGTTTAACTCTCAGAAAAACACTGGAGAAACAGTCAAAGTCACATGGCTAGAACAAAGGATGAATAAAAAGTTGAGGAAATATCTGGGCATTAAAATGCAAAAGCTTTCACATGTGTCATCTCTGTTCCAGCTTCTATCATCCAGCATATTTTAGGGACCTTCTGGCTCAAGCCTTTTCTTTGGGCCACTGTGTTTAATAGCCATCAGTGGACCATAAGGTGGTTAAATGGTTTTTTTTTGATTATTTGATACATCTGGCTCCCATGACATTCCCTGGATAACGTGTTTGGTGATTCAGTTACGCATTGTGAAAAAAAGTTTCCGTATGTTCACTTTAATCCTGCAGGAGAGTTTCATGCCTCTCCTGCAATTCTAGGATTAGAAATACTTTGCATACACACAAAAGGATGAGAGTGTGATTTATGGTGATACAAACCAAAATGGCACATGACATCTCCTGCCTCAGCTGTAAAACGTGCTCCGCCAGTGTAACACTGAGAAAACCCCACCCCATTGTAGTGGTTTTGCATTTGAGGAAAGACTCATCATCACACAGATTCTGTTGCTAAAATCCTACCCTGACCAACATCACCTACCAGTGTGTCAAGCCACAGCTCGGCGCACATGTGCTTGCTGACCAACAGCTTTCCACTTGCTGTGGTGTTCTGATCTTCAAACTGCACTCTCCTCCTTGTCATTGTCACATCTAAGTCCACTGTGTAGAGAATGTATAACTGTGAAAACCCTGCAAGATTTTAAAAATCTTTCGTTAGATGTACAAGAAAGTGTCCTTAGTGCCAAGTTTCTGAGGACACTGTAGATTGCAATCTGATCACAATTCCCATTTATTACCTTGTTGAGACACGGGTAAAGATGAGATTGTATCGAAACATAGTTTTGCTGTAACAATGCTGTGATTTTGGAAAACTAGGATTCTCTCAGGGTTGAATCTCATGCTGGTGAGAAAGTGGACAACTGGCCTCGAGCTAATCAGTGAAAAACAGATAAGGAACAGAATCAAGTATAAACTTTTGAACTCAAACGTTACAGGAAAAATGTTTTAAGAAAGCCTGGCAGCAAGAATAAGAACAGCTCAGTATTTCCATGGTATTTCACCTGGACCAGGCTGGCCTATTTACAGAAGTTCCAGTTTCTGCTGGGAATGTTCAGAACACACAAAATCCCAAGAGTCTGAAGGAACAGATGGCCAAAATATACCAATATGGCTAGAGTTTCAGAATAAAACATGGTGTTTATGTTTCCATTAGATAAACACATTATCTAGCAGTTCAAATTCCCTATCTGCAATTTGTTTTCTAATACAAAATGCAAGAAAATAATCAAATCTGTCTGCCATCTCTTAGCCTTTGTGAACAGCATGGGTCACTCAGCTACCAGATGTCTGACTGAACATGAGGTGTGGTATCTAAAGACATTATTTTGTTGTCTAAGTGACCTACGTTATCAGTGCCGAATTGCAGATACCAAGGTCTTCTTAGACCTAGATCTGTGTTAATCAGTTTGTGTTCACTATCTGTCTCATACTTGTTCAAAGCTTCAGACATACAAAGGCAAAAGCCTTTGGAACTTGAACTAAAGGCTTTACATTTTATATAGTTTCTAGCACTGGGAAAGCTTTTTTATGTCCCTCTGATGCTGAATTAAAAATAGAATCATTACAGAGTGCTTGGAACACATATTCTATATTTGTCTTTGAAGCATTTCCCCAGCACACTAAAAAATAGCACTTATTACCTACCGGAGCACAATCACGTTCTCCAACGATCCTACTGTAATATCTTGGAGACCATCATTAGTGAAATCAAAGCCACCATCAATAGATTGTCCAAAATACTGGAGTCCTGAAGAAATTTCAGAGGCTTTTACTCTCTAAAAGCGGGGGGGAACATCAACAAATGTAAGTCAGAATCTCTCTCCTGTCCTTGGGCAAATACACTTTTCACAAGGCTGCTGTGAGGGTGATTTTGTAACACCCGAGATGCAAAAAAGTGACTCTGAACTTCCTGCAATGGACAGGCAGGCTTCCCAAAGGCTGTGCTGTTCTACAGGCAGTACCTGAGCCCAGCTCCTTTGGTGAAGCAGTCAGGTGAATAATTACAGTTAAGGAGCAGCTCTGCTGCAGAAACCCGTGGAGCTGTATAAACCATCTGACATCTGCAAATTTCTCACCTATCAATGCAAGTGAAAGGTGGAAGTCCTTCCTGCCAGCCTCTTGCTACAAAAACATAAGCTTTTCCCCCTCAAGGTGTACTGGAGCCAATTCCCAACAAGACACGTACTTGAGAGAAAGAGCTCCTGATCTTGTCTTTATCACCATTAAAGATGTAAATGCTGCCAAAGGAGGAACTGTTTGAAAGCTGATCTTCAAGAGGGGCTCCAACTGCAATATCCTCGTATCCATCCCCATTGATGTCTCCAATGCTGGCCACAGTAAACCCAAACCTTGCAAAAGGAGAGGTCACCTGTACATTTAAGTGTCCTTTCAAGGTGAATGAACCAGTCTGAAAAACATCCAAGAAGGAAATCCATTTATAGCAAATGCAGCATGAGAAGCTTTTACATTAAAAAAAAAAAAAACCAACAGGTAAAATAATTAAATCTTACTGCACACTTACATTGCTTGAAGGTGAACAATAAAGCCCTAAACAATCTAATAAGAAGTTCGAGATACCAGCTGACTCTCGGTACAAAGGCATCTTGATCTTTCTGCATCCAGAGCACGCCAGTTCTCGCGGGCTCTGGACAGCCCTATGCAAGCGGACACGCTAAAGCACTGTCTTGTCCTAAATCAATAGCAGACTGAGTTGATCCCCAGCTTGTTTCACAATAGAAACCATCCCATCTTCTCTACCCTACTACAGAAATAAGCCACAAGAGGGTGCACGTTATTTGAATTCTAACAGATGCCCGGACTCCTGTTTTCTGCTTCCAACCCTCCTGGACGTGCCCTGAGCAAATTTTAGCAGTGCACCAAAAAGGGTTTTCTCCTGGTCAGCTGTTAAAGTTCACTTCTCATTCAAAATGACACAATTAACTTACATCTGGTATATTGTGTAATGGATCCTGTAGCTAGGCCCACAAAATTTTTTGTTTTGTACAAGTCCTGGGAAGCAAAGTTTTAGCAGCTCCCATGCACACGTTTATTGTGAGCATCGCCAAGAACTCTGCTTGGCAGAGCACCAACAAACTGCCTGTGTACAGGCAAAAGACATGATTTTATCACAGTCTGGTGGGAGTATGCCTTAGGTACGGAATGGTTTTATTTCTTTAATTATTTCTCTTTTATATCCTAACGACAACGACAGGACTGCTGGCTTCAGCCCGCAGTCCTCTACCATACAGGGAGAGCACATTCAGTGAGAGCACAAAGGAGGAATGTTTTATTTGTCACTACTTAGGCATGGTTGGAAAATCCCCAACATGGAGTGTTTACGCTACCAGTGTTTTTACCTCTGTCTCCAGGCGATAGACGTAAACCCTTCCTTCTTCCCCTCGAATGTGATAAAATGGAGCTCCAACAAGGAGAAGATCTGTCACACCATCATGGTTCACATCAAGTGGGCAGAGCTCAGATCCAAAATAAGATCCAACCTGTGCTCCAGAAAAAGACAGCCAGCTCTTTCACTGGAATTCTCTATATATAGCTTTGTAGAATTAGTGTCCTTTGCAGCAGTAAGGCAATTTTTAGAACAAAACATCACATATCTACTTATATGTGGATCATTTCCTATTATTTATTTTATTACAGCTATCCTCAGGGACAGATCCTGTAACCAGTTTAGCAGTAACAAAATCATTATTCAACAGTTTGACAGAGGAAAAAGAATACCACAGTTGACAACCTTTCCCCATGAACCATGAGAACAGAACATAAATATAGTACACCCCATTTAGCTAATTTTTTCCCAGTCTTTTTCCACATTTCATGATTGCTTCTGATGTTCCCAAAGCAGTATGGAGCGAACAAAGACTGCGTAATTCACATCTGGCTAAATTGCATGGTTGTGTAAGGGTGTAAGTGTGTCTGGAGGAGAAGCAGCTGCTGTTTGAGCAGATAAGGTGTGTGCAGCCCACCTGACCCCCACTGACCTGACTGCCCTCGGGTGACTGAAGCACAGTACCTGCTCTCCTTGCAGGGTCTGTTTTAAGCGGCCGTCCTGAAACACCAACACCTTCCCTTTCATACTGCGCCGTGGAGCTCCAGCCACGTACAAGGGTCCGTATTCCGTGTGTACCACTGCCACGCTGTACCCTGGTGCATTCACATAAGAAGCAAAACCAGCATAGATTATCAGTATGCCTGAAGGAAAAAGCCCACAGAGTTTGGTCTGAGCCATAGACCTACATACTCAATGAGATCCAAGAGCTGGCACCATGTCTAGTTGTTGTGGCCCATGGTTTTGATTACAGAGCATCCCATAAAAATATTGATTAGGAAATAGCAGGTAACTTTTCTGAGAGAAAAGCCAGCAAAGCTGAGGCTTTCCTCTCTCAGCCACTTGTAGGGTAACTGAATAAATTACAGGTCTGAAAAAATACACTTGAATGACTTTTCTTCGCATTTGTCACAGTTCCCGAGTGATTATCCAACACACACCCTTTTTGCTTTTTGATTATTTTGTCTGCAAGCTGGAAGGTTTATCACCCTTCACAGAAGTTAAGGAAACACTATACTCTGTATAGAAAGCAAAAAGAGATCTGTTATGGGGCTTCTGTAACAGGGAGGTAATGTGAGAAGGATTATCCTGACACAGTCCACAGCATCTCTTATTACCTGGTGAGACTTTACGGCCGAGGCTACAGTCAGGAAATACACGGCTCATAAGGCTACAAAGCACTGAGGTGAATAAGCAAGGCTTAATTTGTCACCAAGCCAAGCAGAGTATTGATTCACAAGCTATTTCTTCTCCAGACACTCACAACAAGTTAAATATTTCTCCTCATCAGCTCTCAAAAATGCCCTTCATTGCAAATATACAGTGCAACCAAATGGCATGTGTTAACAGAATAATACCACAAGGCACCATAACTCATAGGAGAAAACAAGTCGTATCTTCCCCCAAATAAGGAGACAGAGAGTGTTTTCATCAGAATCTCTCTCCCTGCTAGAGAAAACATTCAAAATCCCGTAAGATGCTGCAGGTAAATGCTGTCAGTGTCATCACACTGCACTAAACGAACTAAGCAAAACCACGGTCAGGATGTCCTTTGATCTCAGAGACATCTAAGCCGATTACCGAGGTAACTGTATTTTGCTTTTTTCCCTTCTTCTTTAGATTCATTCAGGAAAACAGCAGTCTTGGTTGCCAGATCATACAGTAGAATTCCACCAGACCAGTCAAAGGCTCCCACCGCACCAAACATTAAGACCTGCTGCAGAAGTAACATACTGCGAATTAGAAGAGATGAACGTGGGGCAATTGCCTCTAGCACTCTGCAAAGCAGTTTAGTAAGGAGCAGTGCTTTCTGGCTTACAACTCCTGCACTCTTTCCTGGACCCTGGAGCTTGGGCAGTTCTTCCAGCTCCTGCCAGATACTGCAGAAAGACACAGAGAAGCAGCTGCATATCTCCCAGCTCGCAACATGAATTTTTTTGCAAAACTGGGTCACGGTTGTCCTTGCATCCAAGGCTGCTGAGTGTTCATTAGCCTCCTCAGCATCCACAATTTCCCCCTCCCAACAAGGAGAGAGATCATTCTTGTCTTGGGTGGATCAAGATTTTAAGCCAGAGGATTCCAAAAGAGCAGAATGATTTTATTTGCAACATGATGGAGCCCCTGACTTGTGCACTGGAGATGTGAAGGCCAGCAAAATCAAAGCTGTCAACTGGAGATAGCTCTTTTGCCCAGCGGAATAAAAAGGATCCAATGACAAGAACAGGGGTCACATGAGATAAATCCCATCCTAAAATAATATTCACTGGCTATATAAAAATGATATTTTTGCTTATCTGACACATTCAAAGCAGTGGCTCGCAAAGGAGATTTGACCACATAGGTCTCACACTTTTGTTTCACCATCATTTCTTGTGGGAGACCTCCTGCCTCCTTACAAGTATCGAAGCAGCAGCACGGCATACCACCGTTTAGCAGGGTTACATGCAGAACTCTTACCTTATCCAAGATCTGCACACTGAAACCAGCTTGGGCAAGCTCATATTCCAGAGCATCACCCTGCATACCTGGGGATGGAATAGAAACAGGGTAAGGTACTTTCTCCTTGTCTTTCAAAGGTCCTAATGAAGTAGAAAGGTTGCTCGTTACCTTCTATACCAATAATACTCCGCTGCAGGGTTGAAAGCAGCCCATCTAATGCTGAATAATTGGTCACCTGAAATACATTAGTGTCACCTGGACCAGATGCAATTAGCCGCAGTTCATTTAGTGCCTTTGGTTTTTTGAAGGCATCTCCCACCTGCAGAAGAGATGCAAATCAATCAAAGGAAGCAGCCTTTAGAGTCTCTTTACCCTCACCTACTTCATTCAACAGTTTGTGGTAAAAACCTCAGCTTCAGCCACTATGTGGAAATCCAGAAATAGCAATTGCTTTGGAAGCCAACGAATTGAACAGTCTCAGTGTCTCCTGGAGCCAAACCTTTTACAAAACCTTTCCATGTAACTGGCTGGTGCTGTATTTGGTGTACATAACTTTGTTGTACCCAACAATTAATTTTGGAAATCAACAAGTTACAAGATATCATAAAATTGAACATTTTCCTGCCCTGAAAGAATGAAAAGAGATAGCAGAAAGATTATTTGAGGAGACATATAGCATGTCTGAAACCAAACTTCAGCCTTCAGGACAAAGCCTTGTTGACAAACAAGCACAGAAGTTTTGTTCTGAAAAACTTAAAATTTTTAAGTGTACACTTCATCTTAGAAGGTAGCTTTAAATTCAGGAGGACTGTGATCAAAAACAAGCAATGAATAACGGCCCTTTAGTTCTGCTATTTTGTCCTTGGGTGGGTAGGTCAGAAAACCTTTTGCTTTTTATTTATCACTTTGACATTTTCCAGAATAACCCAGATAAGGAAACATAAATCACACTTTGTGGAGCTAGGCTTGACTAAGGTTAAGTACTTCGTTAGATTCAGTCATTCTAGAAAGATTTTTTAAACTTTGTACACGGAAGAATGAGATAGTCTGATCTACTAAAAGCACAACTGTTCTGCAAAGCCACAGAGTGAGCACATACAGGGCGCTGAATGTGGTAGGGGTAGGAGGGAACAATCATGGGCACATAACTGACACTACGTACATTATAGTTTCAGTTCATACCATAGAATTATCTTTTACTTTATTTTATACATGCCTCTTCCCCTACTTACTGGAACCACGCATGGATCAGTTTCTGCTTTTCTCTGCCACCAGTGCTACCAAGAAATGGAAGTAAGATACGATCCAGGTACATTCCCAACTTACCCCGATGGCATAGCGTTCGATTCCTGCCATTTTGGGTGAATTTATCACTGTTGTCAAGTTCATTTCATCCAGGAGTATTTCCCCATCTGTAAGCACAATCATGACCTTGGCTGCATCCTTGCGGGACCCATGACTTTCAGTGAAGATAGAATCCCTGGTAAAACATCAAAACAAAGAACTTGGGATAAAAGTTGAAGCTTCCCTCCTTGGGATAAGGGGAAGAGTTTTGAATTGAAGCTCCTCTCCCTGGGATGGAGGGAAGTCGTCTTGAATTATACACTTGCAACTAACAGTTACAGCAAGGAGGCATGACAATTTCTTTCATATTCACACATCTTAAAAATACCAGGTGCTGTCTCCCTCTCTATTGCCTCCTGAGCGCTCCTACACCAAGAATTATGCACCGACAGCTGGCTTTTATCACCCTCGAAAACATGGCACAGGAACTGCTGCCTGCCATTCAATCATTGCCAGATAAACAATTGCTTTCAGGACCTGAAAGTCCATAGAAGTCCCTCTCCCTTACTCATGAAATGCCCTAGAAATTCATCCCCTTAATTTCTTGTGCTCTTTTCTTTGTTACTTACAGGACATGCTGCATGGCAGATGCTGTTTTTGTCACATTGCACACCTGCACAATATCAAGTACTTTCTGGAGGGTGGCAGGAGGGTCCCAGTTTTCTCGCAGGTCGAACTCAGTTCTTATTTCAAACCCATACTGTACCACTGCAAAATCGCACTGGAAGGAAGCAGCAGATAAGCACCTGCTTGTGACAACTGCTGATTCAGGGAAAGGGGGTTCTTTGCAACAACTAGCCCAGAAATCCCAACAGAAACATTAGCCAGACTATGCAGAAAGGAAGATTTTTTTCAGGAGAAAGTGGCTTTTAAATACACCTAGAGATTGTTGTAAGTATATTATAGTGGAGGAGAATGAAAGCACTGTCAGTACGGTGAGAAAAATGGTTTTGGGAAACACTGATTTGTTTTTAAGTCCTTGCATTTTCCTGCTGTGTTTTCCCTATGTGCAGATTGCAGAGGGGATTATCTGTGATATTACTGAATTGTTCCTTCGTTGCTCCCTGCCGTACATTGTCTTTCCCTGGAGTACTCCAATTCCATGACGATCTGATTATCAAAGACAGTCTGGACAATGGGACCATTTCTTCATTTTGTATTTGCACAACACATAATGTTTCTTCCTTCCACTATGCAAATAACAAGTTAAAACATACTGATGCCTGGAGCATTTGAGAGGTAGAGACTTTCCTAAAGTCGGTGTGTGGATCACACTTCTCAGCCTCAGCGGAGGAAGCAGTAGGGTACCTTCCTGCAGAGGCTGGTAAGGTGCGTGGCTGAAGAGGCAGTCTGATTGGAGTGCCTGTGATTGCACGTACAACATAGCAATAGAGATGGGAAACCAAAAGGAAGTCCTGACTATCACAAGAAAGCAGAGATGGTGCTCAATGGGCTCCAAGCATGGCAGCGTGGCAGCGTAGCAGCGCTAGGGATTTCGGAGCATACAAATCAGACTTTTTATATCTACAGTGTTCTTGGGACTGCTGAGGTGGAAGCAAAATGATGTCAAGAATACATGCAAGTTGTGGAAATGCTTTTCCATCCCAATGGAAACAAACCTGCAGAGTCCCAAATTCTGGTGAAGAGGTAGCTTAAAGAAAGCACAGCACATTCTTTAGCCTGCTAAAGAGAGTACCTCAAAGCACTTCTCGTACAGTGTTTTCATCATCTTGTGGATGAATGCTTTTGCTCTTTCAAAATCTTCTGGCTCAATGCTCCCTGATCCATCCAGAATAAAAGCAATTTCTGTTCCAGAAGCTGCCCAGGGTATGGAGAGTAAAGGAATGAGGAGAAGGCAATCAGCAGTCTTGGTCAGGACCAAGTTCTTTATCCACTGTTATCAATCAATGCACAAGTAATCTCACTCGAACAAGCAACTGAACTGCACCAAGACTGCTCAGCTGTCATTTCAGCACAAGCTACAGCTCAGGTCTGGCAGCTCACGCTACAGCAACTCCCTAGACTTTGTCAGTCCATGACGGTCCATGGAATGATTCTGTTAAAAGATACTTCACCACATACGCAAGCCATTTTCCTCCTCCTCCTCTTTGTCCTCCTCTATCCAGGAAGGGAGCTTGCTGTCACCATGGTCATTAGTTTTTCTGTGCTCTGGTGCTTCAATTGGAACATTTTCAGCTGAAACAGGAAACAAGTTTGAGCAAAGATGACAGGGCAGTGGGAGAGAAAGCAAAAGGTGAACTAAAACTTTGCATTACTGCCCAGCAGCGTTCCTGCACCTTGCTGCCTGGCAGCTGAACTCTTCCTCGTCCCTGCAGTCATATTGCTTTCAGACACAAGGCTACAGGTGTTATGGAAATACTTGTGAGTTTTGAAGGCTGTAGGGATCAGGACTGCATCTTAAAACTACAGCTACAGTTCAACAGAAATAAACTGCTCTGGGCACACCCAGAAGTGTAAGTATGATAACAGAAACCCTGAACATGCAGTGAATGTGTGTGTTGTAAAGCACTTATTTCCAGACTGATGTTAGGGCTGCAGGTCACAGATAGGGAATACGATCTCTTGTCCTCCCAGTTGGCCGGCTGAGGAGGAATGTCACTAGTGTAACAGAAATCACTTCAATTTGTTTTGCTGGTGCTGGGCAAGTGACTAGGTCTGAGAACAGGTAAGGTCTGGAGATGTATTTACATTCCTTGAGCAATGAAACTACACACCATCACAGATCCACTCTATAAGTTACAGAGAAGATGTGTCAGGAGTGGGACTTCTTCTACCTGAATCACTCAGAGTCTCTCTCTCCAACTCCAAAAGGAAGCTGTCAAAATCTTCATATGTGGATAGCATGAACCAGCCACCTCTAACTTTCTGCAGCTCTTCTGGGATCCACTGATTGCTTATGAACTCTCCAATCTAGGGAGAAAAGCCACCAGACAGGGAGACTGAACGTATTTCATACACACACCAAGAGCCCAACAAATTCCGAAATTGCCATTAAAACCTTGAAAGCTTTGAAAAAGGAGGGAGTTTTCTCAAAACTGAAAACTCCGGTAAAGTAACCCTGATCCTAGATTCCACAGAAAGGCCTTATTTGCAAAGAAGGAGGAAAAAAAAAAGCTCTAGGGCCACAAGGCAGATACAACTTAAGCATCTTTGTTTCCGGGATATATTCCTTAACCTCCTTTGAAATAAGCTCTCTGGCATCATGATGCTGGAGGCCTGAGGGAATCAAAGGAGCCAGGGCACCCCAGATTGGACATCCTGCAAGACTAACGCATGACTGCTTTTCTTCCACCCACTGAAAAACGTCACTGCCCTATATATGTGCTTTGATGCAAAAAAGTGTGGCTTTGATGGTGCTTCCCACTCACCCCGGGCGCATAGAGTTTGACCATAGCCATTTCCAGGGAGTTCATCACATTTCTCAGTCTATGTTTTTCCAGAAACACCTGCCCAGATGCCATGATAATGATTATCTTGTCATCAGTCTGTCTGGAGTCATGGCTTTCAAAGACTTTATCCCTGTGGAAACAGAAGCCTAGAGGTATTTCATGGGACAAACCATGCCTGCAGAGCTAGAAATGTGTGTCATGGCAGGCTGCCGGTGTTCATTGAGCTCTCAGCCTACACAAGTACAGATGTGCAAGACAAACGTGCAGGAGGATTTGTGCTTTCCAGGGACATTGGCTGTCCACAACTGGTTGCTCTGATTTCACAGGCACTTTCACAAGTAGCATTAGGGCATTTCTACAGTGCGGCTCAGTATTAAGAGTCATGCTACTGAGAAGATAATGGAGTCAAGAGGAAAAGCAAGACTCCCAGAGATGCAGCATATCAGTGAAAAAGATGGGAAATGCCTTGGGTCTACAAATGAACACATGCTTAAAGCAAGATCCAAGTGACTGAACTTTCATTCTGAAGCCCCTGTGTCAGCCAGAAAGGATTTCACACTTTGCCTTTTGGCAATTTCTCCTTGCAGACCTGATGGTGCCCCAGACAGACTTGTTCACAGCCCTCAGCTGGCAGAGCCCGTCACTAAGAGAAGCATTGGAAAAGTGAGGGCTTTGAGAGCATGAGATAAAGAAGAGTAGAGAGGAGGTGCGGGAGGCTGAATCAATGCACATGAAACACAAGGAATCACTTGAATGTTCCTGGGGCTTCTTGAGACACATGAACTCACAACACATGCTGCAGTGTGGCTGCGATGTCAGTCCGTGAGCTCTGCTGCTTGATGTTTCGGACTTTGAAGAAAGCAGTCAGCCTGTTGCAGCTTTCCTGCAGGCTCAATTCAGTTTGGATCTGTGCTCCATACTGCACCACAGCAAACCTGATCTGGAGAAAGCAGATGGCAAAGCCAGAGCTGGTTAGATCCCAAAGTCCCTCAGAGTGCCAAGTTCAGTCCCAAACTTTACTGCACAAACACAGAAAGCATATATTGCAAGTAATATGTATATCAATGGTCTTTATCCCTCTGTCTCCATCACACATTTGTATTCTGGTGATCCCTTTTAGATCAGCTCCAGGAACTGACTTAGTTTTCTTTGGCTCAACACAATGATTTCTCTGTCTGAAGTTCCTGTATTTCTCTATCTGGCTAGACCTTTTGTGACCACAATGCTCAGCCTTGCTTTGTCCCCGTTATTTAAATCATTTAAAGTAACAGCTTGTAAGCCCCATTCCTTATTTTTGTGTGTACTGTTTCAAGGTGCCCTGAGAGTTTTGCTTGGTAAAATATCTAAGCATACTTCTTGTATGAAAACCCACTCCTAGCTCTTCCACTTCCCTCTTCAGCTACTCCTTCTCCTGGGCTCACTAACATTTAACTCTTGCACTAGAATATATAGAATTACTACCAGCATCACTGTGAAGTTTAAAAAGCAATAATTATGTGAACCAGGAGACTTTCCATTCTTCATTAGAGCTCTGATCCATCCTGCCTATCAGATTATGAGACTCTGAGGAGGTCCACACACCTTTGAGCATTTCTGCCACATTGACTTCATCATATTGAGGATAGAGGTCTTGGCATTTTGGAAGTCATCTCGCTTGGTGTTCTCTGATCCACCCAGAACGACAGCAATCTCTGTTCCCAGTTCTGTCAATGCAGTTAGACATAAAAGGACATTTGAAGGGACACCTAAACAGCCTAACATTTAGCAAGGGTTCAAGAACATTGACATATTATTAAACAACCAACAATCTGACTACCACACCATGCAGCCATTCCAAAAGCAGTTCTAGTTGATGATGTGGTCTATGCTGTAGCGACAGGTTTTATTTTTAAAAAATCTCAGTTAATGATGACTGTAACAAACAATGTTTAAAATTTACCATTACAAGTAACCTTCAAAACCTCAACCATTTCCTCAGTTCTCTCCCACCAGATGAATACAAGCTGTTTCAGATTCAGCTAATACAGAAGGAAGTAATGCTTGTTCCTGTCCAGTACTTACCTTTGCACATGTGGTTGTTTCCTGCGCTACCAAAGAGCTCACCACAAGCATTGCTGGTGTTGTCTGTGCTGGTGTCAGTTATCTCGTCTCTGCTGGTTTTACTTTGAATGCTGTTTAATTTGGTCTCAACTAAACAATTTAAAAAGCAAGAAAAAAATTACACTCTACCTTTTGCAAATACTCTTCTAACTAACACACCTCAAACTCAGGATCTGTTTCCATCCAGGTTCCCAAATTGCAGAAGACCTGAGGATCAGACTGTTAATAGCAGTTAGACAACTGAAGATGGAAAGAGACCATCTAGGTGTCAAATTTAAACTTGTCACCTTCTTTGCAGCGACAGCAAGAAGCAGAGCAAGGCTAGACAATCAGACTAGCTCTCTGCTCCCTTGATTAAATGCTCCATAGCCCAGCTAAGTTGGAAGAAACAGCCTTAAGTGCCCAGGCACTTTTAAAAATCCCAGTGGGTGTTTGTCACATCCATCCACTAAGAATGCTGATGCTTTTCTAAATTCTGCCTTAAGAGCTGGATCTTTTGGATGGATGGGACACCACAACAGAAAATCCCTGCTGCTGTGAGCTAACCTTCAAGGCTGAACCTTGTAACCCTGCTGAAGTCACTGTAACACATGTTAAAATTCAGCTCTACATCTCTCCCAGTAGACAACAGACCTCGCTGGTTTGGAACTCAGAAGGCCCCTACTGTTAGAGCAGAGCCTCGAGCTGTTATTTCTGTCCCTCTACAAAGGCACAGCACTGGCTTTGCTCCTATACCCATCTTGGTGAGGTTGAGGAAGGCAGTGCTGCGCAAGTCGGTGGTGAGCAGAGTACAGACTCCATTCATATCCTCGGTAGTGGTGAAGGCTCGGCGGTGCTTCTTCTGCAGGCAAGCCTGTGGGGGCGGCGGGAAAGGCTAATGAGCGATGAGCAAAGCCATAGGCTGAGGATGACTGAAGATGCCACCTGACAAACATTCAGCATCTCCTGCACAGCACTGAAAGCCTAGTGAGAGTCAAAAAGCACCTTCCCTGATGTGACCCGTGCCACATCAGGTTACCCAGGACTTCAGCCCTGAGCTGAGGCAAAGAGTGGGGCTGGGGGGCTCACCAGACTGAGGTGTTAGCCTCCAAATTGGTGTCTCTCCTAAGCCTCGTCTGCCAATCCTCCCTTTTCTTGTGAGTGGGGGTGGCCACAGTGAAGTACAAGGCCCACTGCAGTCCTCAGCTGATAAGAAGGGCCCTTTGCAGTTTTCCCTCCTGGCTGGCAATGCACCAGCTGGCTTTCCAGCCAGCCAGTATCCAGCCAGCCAGTATCCAGCCAAGAGCTTTTAGCCTCCATCCTTCTGTTATGTCTGCTCATTTGCATTTCCCAGCAAAAATACACAGCATTTTGGAAAAATACAGTCGTTCTCAGCCATGGATATATTCAGTCCCTTACCAGGATCCAATCTGAACTCCTGTCAATAGCTATGCCACCATCCTGGATGTTTTTGGAGCCTTTAATCTTTCCTGAAATTGGAGGAATGATTGAATGAATGAAGAAGAAGGAGAACAGAATTGAAATGGATACGGTACTCATCAGGCTTAGGCAAACAGAATAAATACAGAGAAAGGCTACAACTACTGAGGTGAGCTATACCTGCTCTCCTAGGAGGACTCAAAATTAATGTTATCAGTAACTGTATCAGTAATGAATATGTTTGAAACAAAAAACTTTGCCTGTATTTCAGCAGAGTTTAGGTGGAGGCATAAGCTGTGGTCTTGCAGCCTCCAGACACATCCATTGGGACCATGGGTTTGTATTTCTCACTACAAAGTGCTGATCTACAGGATCTAGCAGTGTGCTCAGCTCTCTCTGAAACACCCAGCCTCTGCACCCCCTCATGCCCACGGCAAAGCAAGTGTTGGGAAGGGGAAGCAGGACTGTACCTCGCAGAGGTATCTCCTGGCACTGGATCTCCTCCTGCAAAACAGTGCACTTCCTCAGCCTGCCCAGCCCCTTGTCTACTGAGGAAGTAGCCAAAATCCTGTAGAAAAAAGGTGGAAAAGAGAGAAGGTGGCACAATCAGGCTGAGTCCTTTGGCAGTACAGTGCAAAACAATCATCTGTGTGCCAGGGTGGCCACCCATTATTCTGACAATGTCTCTTAATTAAGTGGACTCCAGTATAGGTTGGAGCCGAATCAGCCAGTCAGAGGAAAACATTGATTTTCTCCTACAAACCAGCATCCTTCCCATTATCTGAGCCATGAATTCAGGAGAGCTATCCCAGACCAAGGAAGAGGTCTTGAAGTGACTTGCCCATAAAATACTGGAGATAAAGGGAGGCCAGAGGCACAGAGAGAAAGTCCAACCCCCGCACTAGGAATAGGCAGCATTGCTGTATGAAACGGAGACTGTTGTCTGAGTCAGACAATTTCTGCTCAGGGGGCAGCAAAGTTTTTTTACTCCGAAACTTAAAATACGCTACACAGCCTGAGCAATCTGCTCAGTGTAATATAGGTTATCTCTATAGCAACCACTTGTGGTTGGCTTCTGTTCACCGGCCTAGCCACCCATTTCTTTTCCCCTACAGACCCAATAGTCAAAATACAGCAGTTTTCAACTCTTTATGGTCTTCAGATCAAGCTCACAACAGAACTCTTGACAGCTGGTGGGTGCTGTGACTGCTGCAGCCCCAGAAATGATGCAGTACGCCAGGAAGTACTGCAAAACCCCAGCTGCTTGTTTCTGCCATTTGGTTAAATGAGCAGACATCCCCTCTGTACAGTGCCACGATCTAGCTGCCAGTGCGGGGAGAAGCACCATGAAGACTCACAGGCTGACAATGTACACCTCCCACTGATGAGGCTCTAACACCACTCATCAGCCCCTGAGAACCGAGGAACAATTCTGGGTCCCAGGCAGAGGAGCCTGTGCTAGCAGTTGTAGAAAGTGAGAAGCTACACAGCCTCAGGCCACACGCATCCCTAAAGACCTGGGAAGTCTGGGTGTGTTTGTCTTTCTTCTGTTCCTTACATGGTTGTGTTCCCATCCGAGTGCTGAAGAACTGTGGGCCACAACAAAGAGGCTGTGTGTGGTGTGATCCAGGTCTTGCCAGTGTCAACATTAAAGCTCCTCAAGGACTTGACCACTGAAAACAAATAAATAAATGAGCACAGACTGTGACCTGCAGAGTCATAGCTAACAGGCTCTTGAGCCAGCTATCCATGAACCCTGCCCACTGTGAGAGCAGAGGCACTTGGCGGAAGGAAGATGCCAAGCTATGGAGATTTCACTGATTTAGATTAACAAAAGATTTTCTTGCCCAGCCTAATGAAAAATAAAGTAATGCAAGTCCTGTTGTTCTGTTATGAAAGTCTACCTCAGATATCACAAAATATTCCTGCTAGCTGAAGCTCACAGTCCTGCATTTAGGCAGGTGAGGAAACAAAACTCCAGGGTTTGTGCAAGTCGTGTGACACTTCAGGGTGGCACCACTTGTTACTTCTTGTAACATTGATATTCAACAGACGAGGACACTGAAACCCATTAGATTAAAGAATAAGCAGTTTAGGTAGCAGCAGGGATTGTTCCCCACAAGAACAGCATTGTCATAAACCTGGTAAGAAAAGGAGAACATAGATTTTGTGGGATGTTAACGAAAAGCTCAAAGCTTGGCAGCAAGGGAGCAAATTGATGCCAAGTGCGATGGATATTCTGCTGAGGGTGCAGTTCTGTTAAAGTCCAGTAACTTCTCAAAATAGATATAAAACAGCCATCAAAAAATAAAAACTTCTACCCATTAGTCACAGAGCTGTAACTGAACTGGCATCCTAAAAGCAACTTTTTTTTTTTTTTTTTTTTTTTTTTTTTTTTTATGAATGCACTTCCTTCTTGCAAGGCAGCCCAAAAAAAGGGGGCAATATCGGTGTTTTAGCTGGAAGACTCTGTGGCAAGCCAACCCTTATTGCTGTTCACACCTCAGCTCTTGATTTCTGTAAGTGTGTTAACACTTTAGTAAATGCACATGCTGGGAAGATAAATATACTTGAATCTAAGTGACAGACTAAAAATGTCACCAAGTAGGATGCATGAAAGGCAAGCTACAGTGATAAATGCTGAAAATTCAAGCACTGAGCTGTACTGTATCACCAAACCTCTGTCAATCACACAAGTTTGAAACCTTCACACTAATCTCAGGAACAAGCCCAAGTGACTCCGATCACAAACTCTGTCCCTCTCTTTGAAACCAGAAACAAAAGAAAAGCACAAAATCTGCATTTTACAAATTACTCCAGCCTGAAATCCTTGCTCTGAATGCCCAGGCTCCAACTGCAGAAGCTGTAGGTCAAGCCTGCATTTAAACAGTCTAGCATTTTTAATATAACCTCTTACGTACCAGCGAGAGGTCAAATTCTGTCCCTGTGTCCATCTGGAGTCTTTCCTGGTTCTAATTTTACTCAGAGCTGAAGCTGAGCTCATGCAATCAATTCCATGTCATTTCCAGCCTGGCGACAAAAGCACAGGTGAAGTACCGCAATTGGAGCAATGACATGAAACTTGCAAATAGCATAAAATTTTAGTCTTTGCTTCTGCTTCCTGCAATGTCCCTTACTTCAGGCATACAGCATGCAGCCCTTTCAGAGCGCAGGCAGACCATCCTGAACTACTCGCTTTGCAAATCCCACTTTACCAGTTAAAACACCTACATTAACTCAGAGATGCTCCTGGGCATCTGTGTACGTTTCCACTGTAAGAGTCTCAGCTTAACAATACCACACGTTCACAAAGGCTTCCAGCAAACTCCCTTTAAAACAAAACCAGAATTTCAGATATGCTGGAACGAGGTCCCTGGAAGGTTCAACTGTCTTTGAAGTAAGGGCCAATTCTCAAGCAGGCCAGAAAAAGGAGCGATGGCCAGGCAGCTAACCTCACTCCTGTGCTCATACGGCATTTGGCCTGGGAACCAGAGGCTCCTCAGCTCTGCGCGTAGTTCTGCTGCTGCCATCCTGCAAAGCTGAGTTATTTGGACCTTTTGCTCCTGACTCTCTGCTCACAGGGGTTTCCAACACAGATGACTCAAGGAGTTTTAGCATTTTAGTTATTGCAATTAAGCGCGTTGTACTTAAACTGAGAAAACCCAAAAGATGTGTGTTGCCAATTAGCCAACTATACAAACAAATTATCAGCAGAGTTTAGATGTTCAGCACACATCTGTTAGATTCATTCTAAGAATGTAACTGAGACCCACAAGGTCAGACAACTACATTTTTCTGCACTGACACTTTCATCAGTAAAACCCACAAATGCCAAAGAAAAGGTTACTAGAGAAGAGCGATAGAAAACATCTACAGAAGCGCACAAGGATAGAAGCCTCCACCAATGATTCCACCTTAAATTTGCATGAGCCAAATCAAGAAATGTCAAGATTTGAAAAAAATATTAGCAACTTCTGTGGGCATATCCATTCAGGACATATGTTTACAAAGCTGGGAGTTACCTAGCATAATGACAAATGTGAGAACAAAGATATTAGCAGAAATAATACCTCATCATACAACATGTAAAGTCAAACCCAAATAAGGAAAACTGTACAGCATAAATCTTGATGTTAGATCTAAAATCACAGGAAAACAAGCTCCAGAGGACTTTGACAGGCATCTCATTAAAATAATAAAATTAAGAACAATTTTTTCCCAAACACATTGGAAGCGTAAAGCTTGCCAGGAAGTTTGTGAATCTGATCAGCGCATGAAATCCATACTTAAAGGATAATATTCTTTCCATAAGACGGAGTGGATATACACAGTATTGAGTCTTTTGAAAAGGGAACCAGACATAGAATCAAACTAGCATTTATTTGTGGAGTGGTTAGAAGAGGGGCCTGTGACATCCCCAGGCAGGTGTCCATTGCTTGAGCTGATGGAGTAGTGGTGTAAGGATGTTATCCTCCCTGAGACAAGCAGCTAAAGACTAATTCATGGCAGAAGTATCCCCACAGGGCTACAGGACACAGTGACATGGATACAGACCCTGATTCAGGAAATGTTCCTTCTAATTCATACCAATGCTTTTCTTTACACAAACTTACTCCCAAATAGAGGGCTTCTGAATTTTTGTTTAAAAAATCCTGCATGTTCTAGAGCTCTTGTTAAGGAGATGAACAAGCCAAAAACTTTCGGGAATATATCTCTGAAAGTGCACGGTGCTTAATCCAAGGTGTATATAAAATGACACTAGAAAGGGAAGAATATAAAAAAATCTCGCCTACATTCTACCTTCACCTACTAAACTATAAGCAAACAGACAAATAAAGAAATATAAAAGACCAAACGTGGCTTGTTAGCTTTGTATTTGTATTTTGCACATAATTTCACCTGGCAGCCATTTTCTCCAACTCAGGATGAACTATAAAACTCTCTCCACCCAAACGTATCGATTTCTCTGAAATAGCAGAAAAGCACATCGCAAACTAAGGACTTTCCATACAAGCCCAAACATCCTGAACTTTCTACGTAAGAATCATTTTATTGGCTCACATTAAGTGACCAATCTGAATCTCCAGAAATCACTTTGTTTCCAGACTAAGACTTTTCTTTGCTAATATATGTAAAATAAATATAGCGATAAGACTCACTCATTAGGAAGAGTAGATACAGGAGCAATCTCATTATTCCCAGCTTTGAGGTGAGGGAAGGAGGAGGACTGGAGATACCAGGCAAATGCTGCTCTCTTCCTCTGATGATTCTCCAGACCTGCATGTCTCATTGTGCTTGCTGAGACAAAGTGACTCTATTGTGGATTTCCTAACTGAGGTTTCAAGGCGTACACTAGTGACATCTCAATAAAACTGCAGATGAAAAGACCTACTAAAAGGTAAATTTATGTTATAAAAAGGTAATTTTTAGCAGTGTCTTCATTTCTGTCCATCAGCACCTTTAGTATACCTGGAACCCCAGGATCTGTCTGGAAAAGCCACTAGGGTCTATGTTTGTACTGTCCACCTTGTCCTTTCATGCTTGCTATGTGGACATGCCACATCACATGGAAATGTGCAAACAGGTTGACTCCAGTGAACTCACAGCAGGGATTCAAGAGAGATGTCGGCTCTCAGATGCCACTTGCAGTAATTTTTTAATGCAAGAGGTTCCCCCTTCATCCTCATGCACACACACATACACACACACACAGAGCACTTGGTGTTCCCCTTTTATTTTGTATATTATTGGTGTCAGAATCGTTGACATTTTATGGCAGGATGACCAGGATACGATAAGAGATTCTGCATGTCTCTTCTCCCTTCTAACAACAATTCTTTAGTTTCTATTGATCCCTTGTTTCTCTGTACTGTTGACCCTAGTCTGGACCAGACTAGCACAGAGCTACTCCCCAGTAGTTCGTCCTATCAGAGTACTGCAAGTATTATTCAGATGCAGTGTGTTGTTATTACAAGTGCTAAATGAGCTGAAACAGCAAATGCTGAGCAATCAGAAGAGTTAACTGCATAGCAAATCCTTCTGGAAGGTGGCAGGGGGCGAAAGCCATTCCAGAGACATGGTTCTCTCTGCCCAGAAAGTGTAAATTTTCTAAGCATTCTCAGGAAAGAGTGCAACAAATTACACTTTCTAGCTACCTCCAACTCTCTTCCTCTAAGAGCTCCCTGTGATTAACATTTGACATTCATGCAGACATTCACAGTCCAGAAATGCTGTAGCACTCCACATATCACAAATCCAAACTGAAAAAAAAAAAAAAGATTACATCAAAAGAGGCAGCGAAGAAAGCACTCTTTGCGCTCAGATTTTTAGTAACAGTGAGGTGCCAGCCGTGAGGCAGCCGCAGCCACACCTTTCTGAGGCTTTGCCTGGTCCTGTCTGGCCCCACTTCTATTCATGCTGCTGAAGCAGATGTGAGGTTGCCAAGTAGAGCAGTTTGCTTTTAAAATGTTCTTTTCTATGTTCTCCTTTTTTTTTTTTTTTAATTAATTTTATCTTCATTTTAGTCCCAGAGCAACAAATGAAATTTCTTAAATACAGCAAAGAAGAACACAACTGATAGCTAGCCACAAGAACAGCCCAGCTGAAAAATCTGCCAGCTGCATCGCTTCAGAAATAGCTCTTTGCAGCCTATGTAGACTTACATAAAGCATCTGTTCTGTGTCTGAGCCCTTCTGCTTGTCACGTTTCAAAGACTCCTTTTGCTAGCTACAGAGGCAACGGAAAGTATGCTCAGTTGCAAGTGGGGTCACGATGAGATGAAGAGAGAGGGAATCAACTGAGATGCAGATACACCTCCCCATACTGGCTTCGGCTTCAGAACACGCTTTAAAAAAAAATAGGGGAAAAAAACAACAATAAAATAAAATGTGCAAAGCATTTGAGGAACAAGAAAGTCTTGCTTCCACCTATACCCCTGAGGAAAATGGCCTTATGAGGAACTGGGAACCATACAAACCAGATGTGACGTTTCTTTTAAGAAAATTACACAGATAAGCAGCGAGATAGATCGTTGAGCAGTGGGAAGCATTTGGAGCCTAGTAGAGAGGCCACAGGGAGCAACGACCAGGCAAAATGTGCCCCAGTAGAGGTGGAGGAGTTTGGAAGCAACAAGGTCTGCATTCATCTCCCAACCCTGCCAGGAGCCAAGCAACTTTAACCAAATCACACAGGGGAGGGTCTGAGCATCCATAACCCATTTCCTGAGCATGGAAAATAAAGAGAGCTGCGGGTGTCTTTTCTTCATGGCATGGCTGGGACTTCATAGTCTCCATGGCTCCCACAGAGCAGACAGAGGAGAGAAACTGCAGCTACTCCTTCACTGATGTTTGAAATGTTTCTGGAGAGCCCTGCAAAGTCTCCCCATTTGCATAGGGATGGGTTCACATGCAGGTGGGTTTACCTGTCACAAGAGGTAAGAGACCTGTCACAGAAGGGAGAGGACAATTCATCTGTTGATAATTTCTTGTGTAAATGACTAAAGTGTTTCCTGACAAAACATTATGCTCTATTAAGAGTGGATCCCAAAATCCTGTTGGGCCTTCAAAGCCATGAACCAGCTTGTAAGTCCTTCCTCTTGCAAGGAACTGCAGACGTTCCACAAAACAAACCCCAGACAGCCTTCCTGTTCGTGATGTGACCAAAATGGGAAGTGGTTCAGATGGTGAAAGCAAAGACGAGCCTTGTGGATTAAGAAAACTGGGAAGTTACTGATATTAATCTCAATAGTGCTGACTCACCTCTTACCGCAGAGGGGTTGTAACTCCTCCACAATCTCCTTTTTTCCATAGCACATCAAAGAACTGTACAACAGCCTAGGCACTGCTAAATATTCTGACCAACGTGACATATCTGTTTGCTGCATGTGCCTGTCCCTGTCTGCTGTCCATCACCCCTGAGAGGGCTGGGAATGGTGGTCTGTGGCGTGACGGTGAAGCACAAGGAATGTCAAGGCCCTGTTTCACAGCAGACATTAGATGTTTATGAACATTCTTGATGCAGATGAATAGAAAAACTAAGACTGCAAGCTCAAGAAAGGGATTTAAAGAGAAGCAGGTTTAAGGAATGGCTGAAGAGGCAGGTTATCTTGAATGCAAGCTGTCACAGCCCACAGCTATCAAAAACACTACCAGTAAGCAAGATTTCTCTTTTATTGTTTATTAAGACTCCAGGCAGGGATGGCAGATCTGATTCTGCATTTCTTGAGAATCTCAAAGTGTCCTACCATGGCAAAGCATCAAGCACAGCAATAGATTACCATATGCCAGATGATCCTTTTGTGCAATATGAGCACCTTGCCAAATCTTGGGAACACTTAGGACAAAGCCATAGATGGAAAAAGCAGCTGAAGGCTTCACAAAGCAAGAAAACAGCAGAAGCTGGAGTGAGAAAAGTTAGTTACAATTCAGAGACCCAATGCAGTGAAGCAGCAGAGGGAATTGCCCAGCACAGGGGAAGAACTTATTGAAGTGACAGGGAGGAAGTTTAAAAAGCAATGCTTTTGCTGCCAGTCACACGCACGCAGTAAGCAACAGGATTAAGATGATTGCCTCCAAAAGACAAACCTCCTAGCTTCACTTGCTCAGAGTAGAAATGAAAGACAGGAGATCTTTAGTGCATGGTTTATCTTACTGAAGGAGGGGTGCTGCCAACTTTTGTAGTCTGCAGCTTTTTCAGGGTTATCAGTAGCCATACCCTGTATGAAAGACGCATCCAATGCAACATCAGCTACCACATTTTCAGATGTGGCTGTATAAACTGACATGAGGGCATGAAAAATAAGAGTTAACTCGCATGGCAGTGAGGTCAGCACAGTACTGGGTGAAATGGTAATCAGGAATTTGATAAGGCCTTACAGTCCACACTGATCACATCTTCTCTTCCTTTTTGAGAGAGGCTGAAGCTCTGAAAATACATCCAAGGATGAACATTTTCAGTTAAGTAAACTTGCTATATTGACAGTTTACAGAAATACATGTTGTTATTTTTAAATATAGGCTGAAAGTGAAACAGCTCATTTTTATCTCTTTTCCACAGAGTTTGAAGTATGCTTCCCATCCTGCATGAGGCAGTGTGCACAACACAAAAAGCAATGAGGTTTTTGTAATCATTTACAGCAACAGGATGCCCACTAAGACTGACAGGAAATGCTAACCACACGATGCATTTTGGCCCATCTGTCTCTCAGAAGCCACATGCAGGATTCTGCTGCTGTTTTCTACAGAGACAAAGCAACCTGTGAAAGACAGATGCTTCAGAAATTCACCATGTGAAGTTACAGGTCCAGAAAATCCACATTACTTTTGTGCTTTTAAGCAAATGTGCACATCGTGCAAACCATTTCATTATAATACTGTAAAATGGGAATTCTGCTATGGGCTAAACAGTGAGCATTCCGGGTGCTGACACAAAGACTCAGCATGGCTCTTGATGACTGAAGACTGTATTTGTCCACTCATGTCTCACACCGACAGTATTTTGCACAGACGCCAACTCCATCCTTAGCAACTTTTTATGCCTCTACAAGACTCTTTATTCCAAAGTACTTCAGTGCAGTCTCTTGTGACAAAAGAATAACAGTCAACCCCTTCTTAGATAGGTCACTCCATCCTTTGCTTCTCTATGGCAAACAGCATTATTTCTATACAGCTCAGAAAGCGCCGCCTTCCCAAAGACCACTGCCCACTGCCCCTGTGATCTTGCTCTTACTCTTCTACCTTTAGACATAGTAATAAGAAAGTATCAGGCAAAGTCAAAATAGTTTCTTCAGAGGAAATTAATGATTAAAGTGCATGAAAATATTTAAAGCCACAGGCTGAACCACAGTCTTTGATGAAATGCACTTTAATACTGATAATGCCTTCAATTCTTCCAGCCACTATAGGAAGAACTACTTTGAAGATGGAAGCAAGGTTGCAATCCAGAAAACCTGCTAAAGATTTCTGGTTTGTCCCTCTAGAGGCATCATCTCAGTTGCTGATAGCTGGGGCTGCAATAGTGACTGCTCCTCTGAAACAGCTGTTTTCGGTTGTTTCTGTGGCATCCGTTTCCACGATCTTGTCTCTATAGCAGGAGACATAAAAACAGCAGCCTGGAAGCTGACAAAGGGATCCAGCTTTTAGAAGAGTGCAGGTTTAGGGAAAACCCAACATATAACAGGTAGTATTTTAAGTGTTGCAATCTCCCCACTCCTAGAAAACTGGCATCTAAGAAGAACCTATGCTGGAAGAAGGGGAGGCCATGTTTAAATCCAGTGGAGCTTCTGCCCAACCTCTGCCAGGCTGAACAAAATGTTTCCAGAGAAAGTAACAGCTCTTCATTTTCCACACAGAGTTGCTTCCGAGGTGTAACAAGTGAAGCAAAGATGATTATCTTAGGCAGAATCTGACAACTTGCCAGTGTTAATGCCCTGATCTGTGCTTTAAAGCCTAATGATTTTAATACTTGCAGTATGAGTGGGCCTAAATTTTACCTTTCCTAGAAAAATCACCACACATTTGGGCTACTGAGTCAAAGGGAAGAGTAGCCTCAGTGTTTCCTGCCCATTTCTACCAGAGGTTAAGGAGGAATGGCATCTCCTTCATTCTCACTATTTGCTCCCAAACTCTGCCCACATCCATACCCATTCTAATTCTTTATTTTCTCAGCTCACAAGTGATGCTGCTACTTTTGAGGGATGCTGTGTGGAAGCAATTTCGTGAGCAAGCTGGCCTGCCTAAAATTTCTGTTACCAAAAACATAATAACATGCTAAGAGTAGTTGCTGAGCAGGAAGCTAAAAGGATACTGAAGACCTTTCTTCATGATTTAATTTACCTTCTGGATTTATTTCTGAGTCACTGGTGTTTCCAGGGTCTTCCTTAAGAACTCCCATGTCCTTTGCCCAATTTGCCCATTTAATTTCCTCTACTCTGGAAAAACAAAATGCAACAGACACTGAGGCATGGAGCACACCATTTCAATCCAGATCTCATGGTCCTGCAGCATCCCAACCCAGCTCATACTGCTAACACAAACCTAATAGTTTGGCCGTAGCAACAACAGCCTACAGAGCTTTTCTTTGAGTAAAGATCTTCAGTAGTCTAAGCTCCAAGAGGTAAATATCTTCTCCCCTTGCATATTGTGTGCTGGTCTGCATTGTTTGTTTTAAAATACTCCAGTTCCTCCCAGGGAACATACTCAATACAAAGGAAACTCTTAAGTTCTGCTTTCTACACCTGCTTCGTAACACCTTGGAGTTACAGACGTGCTGCCTGCAGTGCTGTTCGCTGGGTGGAGACAGGTTCCTCTGCTCTCCCAGCCCCTATATGCGAGGAAGAGTGCTGCCCCCTCGTGTTGTACTCAAGTTCCTGAGTAAAGGGGCCACCAGCCTCCACCCCTCCCACCACAGCCTGCTCTGGGCACAGCTATACTTGCAGCGGCAAAGAAAGCACCATTGCAGACACCCTGCCACCATAACCACCTGCACAGATGTGGGTTAAACGGGACATCTTTTGATGGAAGCATGTCTTGGTGACAATGCTGGTGGCTCAACTGGCTCTCAGACTTTCCGCACTGCGATCACCAACCAATTTGCATGTACCAGGGAACATGTGGTTGAGTCACTCTGTTGAGTCAGGGCTGAAATTCCCTGTGGTGGTTCAGGGTTACCAGCTTATGAATCATGGGAAGCCATTACTAGCCTGGAGTGTAAAGGGTAATGGTACATCTGTCTTACCTGAAACACCACCTCTCATCTTTCTTATTGAGGCCCACCGACACGAAGCAGCCAGATCTCCTCTTCCCACCTTGGCGCCACAGCCAGGCCTTCTCTATTTCCAGAATAGCAATAGCCCTCTGAAAGAAGAAGTCCATGTCAGAGAGAAAACAGGGCGTACAGAGCCCAGACCCCCTTTTCAATTAAATCTTCCCTAATCAGCAATTACTTTGACTTAGAAAATAATTTTGGAACCCAATCCCAAAGTCATCCTTAGCTTAACAGTACCAGTCAGTTACTTACTCTCTCAAGTTACTTATGCACGTGGATCTGGACTGGCTGGTAGCCATGCAAACAGCATGAGTTTTAAATACCTCTAAAAATGATGTTAGGATTTACCCCCTAGAGTGGCAAATTTATGTAAAAGAGAAGTTTATATCTGAGGCTTAGGACAAAGACAGGCACTGTCATCTCTGATGTTATGGGACTCAAGTAGGAGTCCGGGCCACAACGTAACTGCTGTGCAGCACCATGCCTCACCTGCAGCTTCCAGACGCTTTTGCTATAACCAGAAATATCTGTGACAGTCTCACTCATGAGCGCAATCAGCATGTTGAGCAAAAGAATGTAAGTGAGGATCACAAAGAGAAGCAGCAGGAGCATGACGAAGTATCTGAATCTGGCATGTTCCTGGAAATCCAGGTCCCCCATCCCAATGGTGATCTTGAAGAGCTCCAGGGAGACACTAAGCAGCCCACCATACATAGCATGGCTCCCAGCGCTCTCCAGCTGAGCGAGAGACTTGTTCTGAGAGACCGAAGGAGCATCCCCCATCAGCGTAACCAGAGCTATGAGAAAAACAGAATTTGAATCCTCCTCAGAAAAATTTACTTCTTACAGGCCAGCCTACAACATAATGCTGAGTTAAGTCCTCACCTGCAGCAAAGCCAAAGAGGAAGATCATATAAACCAAGAGGAAACGCAGCAAATCTCTCAGGATAGTCTGAAACACAAATCAGGAGGAAATGCCATTCTTTATCTCACATAAAATCACCAGGATGATCTCCTGTTCTCACACATCATAAACGAATCCCCAGTAACAACAGTAAAAGCAAGTCGGAAAATGCTTTTGTCCAGTTTAAGAAACTACTAATACATGTTAAATTACTTCCTCAGGTAAGTAACATCATTGGTAGCTTAATCTCAGAGTACTACATGAACTCATTTGTTATGTTTGTATGAATAGGTTCTTTAAAGCAAAAAAATATCATGTCAGTTCCCCAGTATGGCTGTTTCCAAATTGTTTCAACACACACAAATAGGTTCTTTAAAGCAAAAAAATATCATGTTAGTTCCCCGGTATGGCTGTTTCCAAATTGTTTCAACACACGCGTCTCTTTCTTTTCCATCTCCACTGGGCTTCACACAAGTGGTGATCAGAATTCTTCCCTGGCACCTCATTTCACCTCTGCTTTGCCTTGCCTTTCTAGTCCCAGACTCCTCTATGGACCTGGAAACAGTTCTCAGCCCAAGCATAACAGTTCCAGGGAATTTGCACTGGTTTTGACTGCTAGTTTTGAGTTGTTTTATGACAAACAGGTATCAGCTGCTGTCACTTCTATGTTCAAAGATCTAGTGGTTTGTTGCAATTGTACTTCCTTGAAGACACTGATCTAACCTCCTTCTGCAATATATTTACTTCCATAGTCAGTACATCAATTCTGTTTATGGTTTTCATGTCCTGAGAGAAGAAAAGTAATTGCAGGTCTTCTATTAGTTCCTCACATCCAAAAGCTTTTCATACAAAGTTTTTTCCAAGTACTGACCTTCTGTATCATGACACTGTAGATCCCAGTGCGTTGAAAGCCCCGAGTGTAATACAGCATGTTCACCCATCCCAAAAGCAGGGAGAACACCATCACCGCCACGTAGTTTTCTGAACTTGCACCATACAGGACTGCTGACAGCAGCAGTGAGAAAGCCTGGATGAAGCTAGAGAGAAATCAAATGAGTGACACAGTGACTTACCTCAATAGAAGGGCCCATTTGCAGATGTGTTCTGTTTTACAAGGAAAAGCAAACACATTTTATGAGGCTATATGGAGCATATAAAGCAGCAGTTAATCAGACACACAGTTTATATAAGCAAATCCTGTTACAACCAGACCCACAAATTGTTGCAGTTTTGTTATGAACTAGTTAATCTCATGGTATGGAAACTCTGAACTGCTCAATGTAACTCAACTCACATAACTGATATTAAATGGAAAAAAATTTAAACACATGCACACATACACGGACACACATGCATCTGTACATATTTTCCTCAGAACACGGAGAAGTTATTTTCTTTTTAACCAATTCTGAGCCATAGTGACAGTATGATTAAGAAAAAAACTGAGCTCTTTTTCTAATAAGTATATGCTCTTAAGTGTGGAATATTTGAGGGTCTGACCTTCACTGTGTTCCACTACAAATCCAAGGACAGACCATACCCAGCCAAGCCCACTACAACAAAGGGTTATGACCAGATGCAGCAGGTAGGAGAAGCAAGCAGAGAAGGGATGAAAAGAGGAGACAGTGGCAGAGAAGCAATCTTTCCTGCTCACCATCTCTTTAGAAATGTTAGGGCAACTTAGCTGCACACAGCAGAGAACCAGTTTCACCCATGCTTTCATTGTGCAAAAAACCTCAAGAGACATACATCAAGATCTCAATGCAGCTGTCAGAACACATAGTCTTCAGGGACTGGCGTCTCCTCCGCAAGTACAGACTCTAATAGAAAAAAACCAATGGTAGCCATTCATCAAAAAACCAGGGCATGCTAGAGAGTGGTTCCTGCCCAGCATAGCCTACTGCTCAGGGGAAAGGTTTGCTCCATAAGCTCCTCTTCATGGCTGCATTTTCAAGATCCCAAATTTCAGCTAGTCGTCCTTCCAAGACGAAAAAAAAGGCCGTATTTAAAAAGGGCAAGGATAAACAAGGGCTGAATCATGGCTCAGCCCAATGTCTTTATTAATAGACTGCATTAAATGCCAAGGATGCATTTTAGTACCATAAATCACAGAAGTCTCTCATAATTATTTGCTGTTGTGAACGTATTCTTCCTCTTGCCCAACAACCTGGCTTGTGCTACCCCTGTCACTGCTAGATTGCACTGACACTGTAAGTGTCTCAGAGCAGGATTCCCTCCTGCAATCCACTCATGCACATCCTGATGCCAGCAGAACTGAATCTGTCACCTCCACGTCAGTGATATTTTCCTTTTTTTTCCTCCTTACAATGAAACTAGACAAGAGATCCCCATACCTGAGCAAAGATTAGATAAATGCCTCCTAGCAAGATAATGATCAGTCCAGACACCCACAGGAAGCCTCCAGCTGTGAACTCCACCGGAAATGAAGGCTGCAAGATGAAAACAAAAAAAAACCCAAACCACTGAAGACAGTCAGTGGTAGTGATGATAACCACCTTGCACCTTTTAAACTCAGCTCCATCCATTCAGGCATTTCCAGAGAAAAGAAGACCGGACCTACCTTTACCCGTGAGGGTTGATAGTAGGCAATAGCTGTAAAGATGATCATGAATGACAAGTATGAAAGAAAACTGAAGTAGAATCTCTTGGAAGCAAACGTTTCCCATTTTTGCTGAAGCAGTTTGTTCAGTGGCTCTAAAACCACCATCTTGTACCGATTCTATGGAAAAACAAACAATGTACCCATGTGTCAACAGGAATACAAATTCACCAGACGACTGTCTTTTTCAGGGCTGGAGTTCAGTGGCTCCAAGTAGGATATCACCAAGGGTTTATTCAGTCAAGCTTTCAGTGTGAAAGAAATCAACCATCCCATAAGAAGTTACATCTTCTTGGCTTCATCAAGGCATTTGGACACGCCCAGGCTTAGCACAACCAAAGGATCAAAAATTTCTCTCATATTACAGATTATCAGAGGCCTGCCAAGCAGACTATAAATAATAAAATATGCAAATACTTACATCATGTGTTTCTTTTCCAGAAAAATGATCATATGAAACACCCCATTAACTTGAAATGACTTGCATAATTATACACTATAGAAAGGCAGAAAAATGTTGCTGTCTTTGACTTTTAGGAAAAGCACTCACCGGCGTGTCACTGCTGTATGCCAGGATCTCCAGCACAGAGTTTTCCTCAAAGCTGTCTATAGAGGACAAGTCATAGAGAGACACATGGATGGGTCCATAGGTCCATTCAGTGAACTTGCGTGACAGGTGCCTGTACAACGGGTCTTTGATCTCTCTTTGGATGATGTGCCTGAAGATCTGAAGAGGAACCAGATGCATACCAGAAAAATGTGTATGTGACAGGTGCAGAATGACACAAGTATATCCAAATCACCTTCAAAGACAGGACACCTCGCTTTCCGCATTACACACTTTGATATATCCAAGCACCAGACAATCTGGCTAAAAGCAGGCAATCTAACTACATCTTGTATCAGCTCTTCCGGGAGTAGCACCAATTTTGGTCCAGACCAGTTGTCTTGTCTGGTACAGAGAGCAGCAGCAGCAAGCTGAGACTCTGTGGGACACTAACTGCATTGGCCTGGAGGAGGCCTCCTTTGTCGTCTCCTGTGGCACTGCTGCTGTGCAAGTTGCAAGTGCATCAAACTCCACTGCTATGCTGAGGATATATGCTACAGTCTTTCTTGTTTCTCAGCAACCCCAGGAATTCCCTCTGGTTGTCTTTACCTCTACTTTGCCTGTCCTGGCAGCAAGCTGCAGAGGATTTAATCCATCATAATTCACTATCTCTTCCAGTTTACACGTTGGGTCAACCTTCACACCTGCCTTCAAGATCTCGACATATGTTGTGCTCACAAACTTGGTGTTCTCCTCAGTGTCATCTGCAATCATCACCAGGGCATGCAGGACTGTGTTGCCCTGTGTATCCTGCTCCTGGAGCCTGGCTTTCTGGTGAGGATTGTTTAGAAGATATTCCACCACCTCAAGCTGGTTGGTACAAGCAGCCAAGGAGAGGGGAAGTTCACCTGAAGAGATTAGGACAGTATTTGAAAGGGAAGCAGAAAGGAGTGAAAAAGAATTAAAGGGGGAAAAAAAAGGCAATTAAAGGAAAATATATTTAGCCTATAGTTTTACCACTGGAACACAGAACAAGTTCTTTCTCAGTGTCTCTAGATTCAGAAAGCGTTTTGCAATAAACAATTAGCCCTTATTTCTGGGGGCACCTGAAACACTTTCACAGAGTCCCTAATTTTCTAAACTAACCAAGTATTTGTCTCTGTTTGAAGCCCCTCAGATGGGATTAAATACGTAAAACAAGTCTGTAAAAGGATTCCGCCATTCAAATAAGTCAAGAGCTTGATTACAGGACAGTGGAGATGGCAACCCACGCACAGAGGGGCAAACCCAACTAAGAATTAGTGGCATTGCATACAGTAAGACAACCAAAAAAGTGAAGGAACGTGTTCCACACTGACTCACCAAAATAAAAGTAAACTCCTTCTTTCTTTTTCCTGAAGAATTCACCATGGGCTCTGGCATGGACATCAGCTCCATTCTCTACTAGAAGTTTCACTAAATCTAGGTTCCTTTTCTCTATGGAAATGTGGAGTGCTGTCTGGCCTAAGGAAACAGGCAAAACCTATCACTCAGTGCCACTATCAGAGGGAACAGGCAAAGGACCCTTCAGCAAAGCCCTGTTTTAACAGTCACTGTATGTTCTGCACAGCAATCCTGCAGTCTCAGTGCTGAGCAAGGGGTGGGTGGCAATTGATGACTCTCCACAACGTTCATTGGAAAAGCACGTTGCAAACACTGAGTCAGAAGACAAGCCTCAAGACTATCAGAAATTCAACACAAGACCAAGCAGTTACCCCTGCCTGGCACTAAGATCCCAAGAAGCTATCAGAGGATAAAGACAATCAAGTACATGACTGCGCTGCATGCTATTAAAAGAATAACCCAAACTGCAGAACTCATTCTTTTTCACTTGTAGATATGCTTTTTAAGCTTTCCCAAGCAAATCCTCTCATATTAAACATGCATCATTTCTGTTTCATACACCAAGAACAAAGTTGCAAAAGTGTATAATTCAAGGCTGAAGAAGATGCAGCACCAGCACCAGAAATGAAAGGTGAGTAGGCTGTTACTGTAACTGTACCAGAACTCTGGAACTGCAGGGCTGCATAAGCTCCAGTTCCCTCTTTTTCCTTGTATCTGCACACCTCACCTGTCTGATGGGGAAGCTGCTCTGACGCAGCATCAGAACAGAAACCTTACCTCTGTAGTAACAGTCAGAGCACGCCACATTGACAAGTGGCCTGGGATTCTGCGTCTTCTGGTCTATTTCCAGCAAAAGTGGGATTGTGTCATTCTTTCCATTTTTTAAGTTCAAGAGGGCTTTCATTAAGCAGGTCTTCCCAGTCTTTGCATCTAGTAGAAAGAGAGTATTGAATGGGTTCTGCATGTACTTTGCACACATCTGCGTTACTTGATTCAGAACTTAACTGTCACTGTCGGACCAAATACAATAGTTATTTTAAAGGCCTTTCTCAGTATTTTCAGGCTGCAGCAGAGGCAAAAGCTTTAAGGTATATATAACCAATGGCATTCTCCATCCTTAGGTAGACATTAGGAAAATAAAAGAATGGACAGAGGGCTGGAGAAAGCAAAGAACCACAAGCAGGTTCCCCTCTCTAACAGGTGATGCCCTCTGCTAACCCTGTTTACAGAGTACTGAGCAGGAATCTACCTGTGTATTCAGAATTGGTGAGGAATTTGGAAGTCCTCCTTAAGTACTCCAGTAAACCATCCAGTGCCTCGGGGCTGCCCCTTGAGACTGCGCTGAAAAGCCTGTCTCTGTCAAAGCGATGTGGGTCCTTTTGGCTACGGAAGAAATGCAAAGCATTAAGAAGTTCTGGAGAGCAGAAGACAAGTGTGTGCAACAAGTTCTAGTGGGACGGTGTAAGAAAGGAAGGAGGCAGAAAAGTTTATCAGAAAAAACAAGTATTTTATTTTTGAGTCAAGGGAAAAATAGAGACAGTTATTTCCCAGAATTCTCTTAAGTGGCTGCTCTTTCCATCAGCTGGAGCTCTTCCCAGATCCAGTCTGATGTGAAACCCTGGAACACATCCAGAGCACAAAGACAGAGAAGCCGAAGATAGCTGCAGGACCAGAGTCAGTCCCATCACATGCTGTGAAGCACTCGGAGAGCTGGTTTACATCCCTCCCTGGCAAGAACAGTTCAGTTGTATAGGGCTCCATGCTAAGTGGCTCTGACACCCAGCTTGGCTTATTTAGTGCTAGTCCAGATACACCCAAAAGACACCACCACGCACACCATGCACACACCTTCCAAGCGCAGAAGGAAAGAGCTAATACATCCTCTTTCTGCTATTAATTACCTCCCACCAGATGCCTGTACTATTCCTACATTGCCACTTTCAGATTAGGCTGGGTAAAGTCTGCAGGCCCCTACCAGCAGGGTAGGGCTGTACAGACCAACAGGGATCGCACCCTTGTCGAATACCCAACAGTTACTCACTTGCTGACGAGTCCTGGCCGATAGTTCAGATTAATCTTGACTTTAGGAGAAAAGTCACTGCTCTCCTTCTGATAAGGTGTCTCCAAGGGTCGTGGCTCTCCTTTCTTTCCATGTCCTGATCTTTCTTCCTTTTTACTAGATGCAGGTTTATCTTCCTGGATACTGTCATCTGTTTCTAGCAATCCTATCAACCTGTTCCTCTGACCTGGGCCTGGCTGCCCATTTGTGAAGTTATCCATTTCTAGTAGAGATGGTCTTGCAGATCTCCAAAGATGTTCCTCACTGGGAGACTAAACCTGCAAGGGAAAGGGAGAATTAACACAATTTGTTCACAAACCTAGAACGTCTTCGCTGCGGCACAGAGACGAAAGCATGTTTCCAGGTCCAGCGTTCCTACACTTGACTATGGGTCCCTTGAGAGAGATATTCAGTAAAACTCTGCACAGTAGGAGTATTTGAATAAAGGATCAGGGCCTTAAACAGGGTACCACTGGAGAAGTTGTCCAAAAGCAGTTCATGAAATACAAGCAACTTGTCTGCAGAACATCTGAACCCCCTTTGTGAGATGACCTCACCTGTTGGCAGCAGCACAGGTTCCTTACATAAAAGGCAAAGAAAGTGCATCTTCAGGAGACTACGATCATTGTTCTTGTCTCAGTGCAGCAAACACAGGCTAGTCACCAAGTGGCCAAAAAGATAAGACTAACTGTAGGCCTTCTTTGGACAGTGTGATAAGTTTGTTCATGTTCTCTGTTGTAAACATTAAGCTATTTCTAGAAGGAAAACACATGCACCAATTTCTCACATTTCATCCTGAGGCAAAATGAGCAGGATCTCCCCACTGTTTGGAGCTGTTGGCTATCCACACGAGCACAGGCTTTGAACATCCAGCTCCACAGCCCAGGCAAACACACAGCCCAGCTGCCATGTGGACACTCATAGCCCTCAGAGCCTGAACAGAGCAGAGCTCTCCCCAGAGCAAAGCTGGATCCAGATCTGCTGTACAGAGAGCACCAGTATTCATCAGAGCACCCAGCCAGCCCACTTCTCTCAGCTAGTATGTCCTGTACTCCTTTTGTTGCTCTTTTGAGACATCTCTTCATATATATCTGGATACATCTCAGATCTACACCTAGCACAAGCTATCTGTAGTCAGTGTATGTTACACACAGATTTTGAGGCAGCAAGGAAACATCCATGATTACCAACCTGAAGCAGAGCTTTTTCAATAACTCCGTCTCATTCACGTGTACTCCCTCCAAATGGTTAACACGTTTTCTCTGAAGAGAAATCTCCCTTGCTGGGACTACAGCCAGACTCCATAGCCTGTACCAGCAAAGAGGTAAATTGACACAGCATAAGCATTCTGGTTTAGATTAGGATGCGGAGGAACACAGTTCTAGGCAGAAAACAGCCACAAAACATCTTTAGGCAGCTCACAGCAAGAAATCCAAGGGCTGATTTCAAGAACAACCATTATGATAATTCAGCCATTCAGTTTAGTCTGCACTCTAATGACAAACATTCCTCCGCACACACAGGCATACATCCTGTAATCCCATTTCAGACTTACTTCCTCCCCCAAAACACTTACTGGTACATTTGCCGATCCTTTAGAGGGCTATTTGTACTTCCATAATAGTTTGCTTGTGCTTTTCTGTCTTCCTTTCCCCAAAATCACTTCTCAGCTGCAGTTTCCATCTCTCCACAGCGCTCGAGAGAGTTATTTATTATCAGTTTTGTACAGACAGACCGTCTGGTTTAAAAGCAAGAGCAAAATGGTCCTATAAAAAGGGACCCTATAATATATACATCCACTTCGTGCGTCCCTAGGAAACACAGAGAGCACTCTCTGTTTGCCAGCTCAGCATTCACTTCCTCTACTCAAGAAGTGAGTTGTTTCTTTCTGTGACTTTACCAAGCCATTTTGAGTAGCGCAGCACAAAAAAAGCCCTGCTGTCAAAAGAGGAAGAGCACAGCACTTACCCCAAGTTGCTGCAAGCTCCACCCAAGAACTGAGTCCCAGCGGATCCTTCAGAGGGTAAATAATCTCTCAGTCGAAACCAAGTCAAATACCAGCAAGCGTTAACAAGCATGAAAGCAGACCCCAAATTATTTACATCCATGGGTGAGAGTCCTCTTCTGCAGAGAAGACCATGCTCATATTAGCAGTCTATTAACGGCACAATGTTGAACTCCTAGTTGGTGGTGGTCCATGAGAGAATCCAAGCTGTCTGTGAGAAGGAATAACCACAGATTACTGTTGTTTACTCAACTGTATAGCTTTTTGCAAAGTGAAGAAGGGCTTACACAGGAAATGACTAGATAGATTTCTCAGTAAAAGAGAGAGCCAATGAGTGCAGTGCTCTTATATGGGAAAGCTGCCTGGCTATTGCAAATTCATAATGCTTAACCCCTGCCTGCACGTATAGAGGCAACATCTCGTGGCTTTCAACAACAGCCCGCTCAGATCTCAAGGGAGGTGGCTGATTCGCCCCTGACAGCCCTACAGCCCGTGGTTTAGTCGTGAAGTTTGTCACAAGGCTCCCTCTGTTAGCCCCAGGACAAGCAAGTATGCATCGAAACATCTGAGGTCAACTGTTTCTGTGGGAAGCCAGTTTTCACACAACTTCACACACCCCAGTTATGAGGCAGCACAAACCGTATGAGACAATGAACTAGCCAGAAAGTTACCCTACAATGTACAGCGCCAGCCGCTCATCACAAGCACAGGAGACTGCACAAAGCAGCCCCAATTCCAAAACACTTAGGCCACTGATTATTTAATTTGACACTAATGTCCATTTCTTAATGGATTGGTTCTCCAAAGGAGTGCAAGTCTTGGAGAGGCTGCTTCTGGGAGCACGGACTGGCCATCCCTACAATTGATTGTCGTTGAGACCACGTATGCACATCAACACCGCTTCCCCTGTCACTCACAAAACAGAACTCCTGGGAAACAGAGGACATCAGCCATCAGCCCACACCAAGTGTCAGTTTTTCCCTCCCACTCCTAACAGAACTGAGGCCCAAGGAGGCAGCGTGATCATTATTTCCCACAGTGCAGGATGACATTCAGCACCCACAGTCTCAACAGCCTTCCCCAGCACAATGTTGCTGCAGAGTGACTCTCATCTGTACTCTGTAGAGGACTGATGGCTTACAAAGCCATTTAGGTGATCTAGAGCTCAGCTAGAGAATCTTGTTAACAAGAAAAACGGTAAAGAGTTCTTCTAATCAACAGCTTGAGAGCAGGGGCACGTTCCACAAGAAACCTCAAAAGTTTAGTTAACCACTGGTCCAAAAACATTGAGAAGGGGTGTCACATCATGACACACTGAACTCTGGCTACGGCTTTCTTTTTTCAAACCCACCGCAAGCCAAAAGAGAGCCTAAAACAATCCCCATCTGACAGGACTGCAGAATGATGTGGTTGTCACCCACAGAAACATTCCCAGATGGCTTCTACTTTGAGTAGAAGCAGGCTGTGAGACGACCTTCCTATATATACACCCGTTAAATGGCAGAGTGCCTTTTCCTCTTTCATGGTTTTGCAAGAGATCACAAGCTTAATTCTCAGATTCCTGTGTTTCAAAATTAAGCCAATCGAGGAACAACACAAAGCTACTTATTCTTTCCAGGATTAATGATTTATTAGGACCCACAGAATAGCCTATAAAGAACAAACATATGCAGATAAATGCAAGACCAGATCTCGTCTCTCCTATCCCTCATTCCAGCCTTGCACTGATTCAACTCACTTTGCTTTAGTTGTGCTACACTTAATTTACTGTGATATCAATGGACATAGATTCAGGCCCAGGAGTTAAGCTCAGACTTATGGGTTTAAATCCTCTTGGGCTTTTCCCCCAGCTTTCATGGGAGGCAGCCCACCACTCTAGCCAAGGAAAGAAATCAGCCCACAAAAGTGCATCATAACAGAGTTCTTTCTGCGCATCTGGTTTTAATAACTTACACAGAGGAAGGAGAATGTGCAGCTTGCTGGGAAAGGAATCGCTGCCAGCTGAGAGGTCACCACAGCAAAACAGAAACATGGAGCTGCTGGGGGAACACAGAAACATTGGTATGCGCACACACATGCGCATGTATTTTCGCGGAGAGTACACTAGGGCAAACACTTGCACTTCCATTTCAGAGAAGGGAGAAGCAAGGTAGGAAAAAATACAAGTTCTGCCCAAATGTGCACTTGACAGTGACAGCGTTCCAAGGCCGGTAAGGGGATTACGTCACTGCTGCGCACCAGCCAGCTGAGCTGGTTATGGTGCTTAACAAGCATCTTGCCACCAAAATTTTAAATCCTGATAGCTGTTAGGACTCAGGAGGAAGCCATCCAAAGCAGGATGCAGGGAGAATAAAAGAAGTAATGTAATTTCACCTGTCTAAATTTTCAAAAGCAACATGTGATCCTCTTGCCTTTTGAGGCTTCTATTGGGGGGAACAAGAACAAATCTTGCAGTTGCTCGGTACTTATTTTACCGATGAAAATGTGTCTGATGGCGCTAAGTTTCTTCTGACAGGAGAGACATGTTCCGTGGAAACCTTAAATCTGGGAAGACAGAAGTCAAACTCCTAAGTGAAATTTAAAGTCAAATAAATAATTTTCATTTAATAATATTATCAAATATATTCATAATAACTATAATTATTCTATAATTATAGATTATATATGAAGAAGCACAGTAATTCATAGCAGGAAAAGTCATGACCGGAACCTGCTTGAACAGAAGGCAAGAGGAAGCATGAGGAACACGGCATCCTAAAAAGACAGAAACAAGCACATTTCCTAAAATATGTGTTCTCTGTTTCCCTACTTAGGTTCACCTTTGTTCACCCATTATGAAAAACATAATAGTTTTATGATTACTATCACGTTTCCTGTATGCTGTAAGTATAAGATCACAACCACTTACACGTGTCTGTAGCTTAACTATAGCATTGATCTGTAACCACTCTAAGGAGCAGCAGCTCAAAATCATCTTCACAGGAGGAGGGAAGCCTGTAATAAGCAATGCAAGGGTGGACCACTAAATTAGCTCCAAAACAACAGGTAGGTCAGTGCTTCATTCAAACCTCATGAAAGCCACGTGGGTAAAAAAAGCCAAACAAACACCTGTTTCTCTTAGAAGTGTACCTTCACACTTGAGAAAATACCAAGTATTTTTGCAAGGCCAGACTTTTTTTCGTGCAACTGTTATGTAAAACCCACACTGAAGGTGGT